GTTTGAAGGTATCTCCAGAACAACTATATGGAAATGAAATTTGGGATAAATGTAGAACATAGCCTGGTAGAACACATAGGCTACTAGTAAGGTTTTTTTTTCATTCCGCACGGACGGAGTCTCAGACGGCAGCTAGTATTATTATATTATGCAGTCACACTGAAGGTTTTAAAGCTTGTAACTTGTAAGAAAAATAACATACCATTTGACTAGTTTCTATAAATGCGTCAACACACTGAGAATAACCTTTGAAATTGGTCATAATATTAGCAATTGTCTTCATCTTTGCCAAATTGCCTTGATTTTGGGCCTTCACAAACTCTTCAATAAGATTACGTTCAATTTCGTCATATTTAGCCTCAATCTTTTTTTTGGCAACTTCAAACTTATCTGGGGGTAGTTCTTGAGCTATTGTGTACAATTTTTGTATCACATCTGCTGCTTCATTAAGCTATAAAGAAAAAAAAAATTGAGTAAATCTTAAAGGATTATTTCCAGCCAATGATTCATCTTGATCAATCTTAATACAACTGATAAACTTAGCAGAAATAACATAATAAAAAACAAATCTTACCTTATTTGGATCATTAAATAGATCAGTAAGAACAGGTCCTGGACTAAGAAAGTTTGCCAGATGTGATAACAGATCACGAGCTGCCGCAGACCGTGCCCTTGGGGCTCTGGCTGCCCCAAGTTTCTCACCAACCTCCAATGCTCGGCCCCCACAACGAGACATGCGCTCATCCAAGGTACTAAATACATTTACGCAATGCTGGAAAAGGTAAATGTAACTAATAAAATTTAAATTTAAAAGAATTTAATTGAGACATTTGTTGTCAATGTTTTTTAATTATAAGGAAGATTAAGGAATTTGGGATACTGTACAATATGGCTATTACTGGCTAAAGTCCAGACTTAACTCAATGCATCCTGCCTAATTCCCAGAAGAGTCATAGAAACTTATAAGACTGGATAATTACAGAAACAAATAATAAATATAGGCTATGATGCTTACTGAATGCTGATCCATTATCTCAGATAGTTTAGCACCATATTGTTTCTCCTCCTCTTGCACAGCTTGTTCCAGTCTCATACATTTTCTCTCCTGACGTTCTTGCAGTACCTTTAAATCTTGTATGGCCTGAGTAAATATGTCATGAATCATTTCCGGATCAATTTGATCATCAGTAAGTCGGGATTCCTGCATGCTCCTCCGTACCATCCTCTCAACAAACTCATCGGGGTCAAATGGATCCTAAGAAGATTAATAAAATTTTATAATGAAATTTTAATGAAATCCCCAAAGTTGCCGTCAACTTACTTGCTCTAATTCTTTTAAATATTGGTTCATCATTTTGAAGTGCACAAAATATGATCAGTCGTCAGATAAAATAGTCTGATACGCCCCTCTGTTATTACTTTATATGCAATTATTATGGTTACGCTAAGCTTATAATATTGTTTATTTGATTTTATTTTGTCGCGTTCAAACAGAAAATGTCAATGTCAATGTCAAAATTATTGAAGAGTAGATAAAAAAAAGGTGATTATAATTCAATAAAGAACAGCATATTTATCAAATAATGTTTGGACTTAATTTAACGATTTTTTTTCTATAACATTATACTTTCACTTAATCTCGATCTCTCCGAGAGAGAGATCTCTACTTCCCTACCTATCAATTCGATTAGGGCGACCTCTGCCTCCGACCACTCCAGTTTTCTTTCATCCCTTGCTGAGGTTTGCGAGGTTGTAAGTAGCATGAGTTCGAAAATGTTTAAAACTGAATTCCATGTTGACGTTAAAGAAGACTTCTTTTAGTTTGTAAAAAACACTATACATCTCTTAGTAATGCAGTGTTTTGTTAAAAGCAGGTTGTAAACGTTACAGTTTTATAAGTTTAAACGTAACTTCCTTTTACCCTACGGTTGTTCATTTTAACTAACAAATCTTTATTTTAAAATACATGTAATTAAAAGCCCATTATTAGATACCTAAAATTAATTAATAAAAACAAGGATTAAATGGATAAAATTTTGTCTTAAGATAATGGTACTATAGCTTTGCTGAGAGCGACCTATTTATATCAAAACTTGAAACAGGCAAGTATGAAAGACATCAGTTTTGATTTTAGAAACAAAAGAAAAAATCATAAATGTAACAACTACGTCTTTTTGGAAGATATCTTACTAGTGAAAGCGTTTTTTATATCCAAATTCTTTGTGATGTAATATTTTGACAAAATCTTGTGCGTGCTATTAAGGATTTATTTATTTATTTACTCTCTTTAATGAGAGTTGAGTGGCAATTTAAAGCAAAACGGATACCATACAATTTGACAGGAGAGTCACTGAAACTATTGGGTATATCGTGAATAGTGAGATGTCCAATGTATCCTAACCGGGTTAGGATAAAGCTGATAGACCTCAATGGCTGAGCGGCTCAGCCCTCGCAGCTCCGAGGTCAATGCCTTGGAACAACGGGGATATCTCATAGGCAAAAAAATCGGACAAGGATCATACGCCACTGTACACCTGGCGGAGTATTGCGATGCGTCCAGCCCCAAGCGCATGCACCTCGCGTGCAAAATATTCGATAAGGAAAAGGCGCCCCGTGATTTTTTAGAAAAATTTTTTCCTCGAGAACTCGACATTCTTACTAAGATTGAGAACCCACACATTATACAAGTGCACAGCATCTTGCAGAGGGGACCAAGAGTGTTCATATTCATGAGATATGCTGACAACGGTGATTTGTTAGACTTTATTAAAAGAAACGGAGTCGTACCAGAGAACCAAGCCAAACTTTGGTTCAGGCAGATGGCTAGCGGACTGCATTATCTACACAGTAAGAATATTGCCCACCGTGACCTTAAATGCGAAAATATATTACTTTCTAGACGTTTTAACGTGAAATTAGCCGACTTTGGTTTTGCAAGACTCTGCACCGATGGTGAAAACAGACGTGTGCTCAGCCAAACGTACTGTGGCTCCGCGGCGTACGCGGCCCCGGAAGTGGTTAGTGGTACACCGTATAATCCAAAGCTGGCCGACGTGTGGTCCCTCGGGATTATTCTCTTTATCATGTTAAATGCATCTATGCCATTCGATGATTCAAACTTGCGTAAATTACTAAAAGATCAAATGTCACGTAACTGGGTGTTCCGCTTAAGGATTCGGGACACCGTGTCCGCCGCCGCTAAGTCTATAGTGCGACACATTTTGGAGCCCGATATCACTTTGAGGCTGACTTTAGATCGTGTTTTGGCACACGAGTGGACAAGACCTAGGAAAGACAAGAGTGCGAGTCTGATGGGCCGGCTAGTGCAATCCGCACCGTCGGCGCCGTACCCCGGAGGCAAACGCGAGCACGAGGAGGCTGGCCCGTCTGCCGGTGTGCGAGTGTCTGGAGACCATCGCGATACAGATCGAGAGAGACACGACGATATCAACATGCGTTCCCGTGATTAATTAACTCTTTCCCGACCAGCATTTATCAGTGAACCTTAAGCATATTTTGGACTAACATAAAATTGTAAATTCACTTTATTTTGATTTATTTTTTACAATTGACGACATAACTATTGTTAGCCGTCAATAGTGAAATATTTTTACTATTAATCTCTTTGTTTTATTTTCTCTATCTATAGTCCTTATGCTTATACTCTTTACAATTTTTTAAGCAAAGACAGATGCAATGTACACCATAATGCGTGTTTGCTGTGTTTTAGGCAAAAGTATAGGTCAAAGTAGTCCATAACTAGAAAAAAAGAGACGAGACACTGCAATGTTTTCTTACAATAAACGATTTAGCTTTATTTAAACAAGAGAAGATTATCGCAACATGTATCATGTTTTTTTACAAATTAATCGTCCTTGTGTTACAAAACGTGGTTCGTTGAGAGAAGGACTAATATCTCAAGAATATAGGTGTAATATGGACATAATCATCGCTTGCGCTTTGTCTTTATTAACCCGAAAGCCCAACAAAACAAAAGTGCATTAAAAGATAAATTCATTTATTAGGCTTTGTAAATTTGCTAAGGACATCGACTTGTTTGTTAACCGGTTAGGAAGCGAGTACCCCTTGATTTCATATTGCGTATGCACAAAAGGGTATTTCCATCGAAATGTTACAGTTTGTGTCGGTCGATCGTAACTGACTTTAATTTCCGTATGTCTATTTAGATATTCGACTGTAACGAGGTTCATGTTTTTGTCTACGTCTTGTCTATGAGGCTGAAAAAAGAATAACGTCTACAGAACAAGCATAAGAATAGGAACAAAAACATAACGCACCTTATGTGTATATAATATTGAAATTGTAATTAAATACTTACTTCGATTTTGACTTTATATATGGGATTAAACAAAGGTATAGCGCCCTTATTGTGATAGGACAGAATGTCTCCGTCAATACGCTCACCTAAAGTTTAAAAATATTATTAAAAATTATAATAATAGATTTAGTTTTACGTAAAAATACTTTTATAAAACTGATCCCTACTTTAATTACTTACCAAATTTGTGTACCTTATATCCTAAATGAGGATTATAAAATAAATGATTTAAATTGACAAAGGCTATTACAATTAGGGTGACGGGCAACCACATCTTGGTAAGCTTAAAACAATATCACGTATGCATGGAGCTGTAACTAATTGATTTTGAACGGACGTTATGAAATATTCTCTGATGAACATCATGCGTGCAATGATAATATCTAAGCGGAATTAACGTTAATTAACATTAGATAGCTTCCATGTAAAATAGTGTTTTAATCATACGCGCGGAACATTCCTCATGGCAAATGGACGATCTATTTGTCAAAACTTATTGTTTTGCTTACAGTATTGCTGGTGAAAAGTCTTGTTTTTATTTCCCAAGGATATGGAAGATACCAATGGAATATTAAAATGAGAAAAGATAGTCTCAGATAAATTAAAAAAACTACGTAACTATTTGTGTACACTTGATTAAAAACTCAACAAAATATGTCTCAAACGTTTATTTTGAAATTTTATTATTTAACATTTGCTTTATTTTAAGACTGTGGAATTCCTTTAACAATGATATTGTATGTTGATTGTGTAATTTGCACCCAGCTGTATTTTATTGATACTCTGTGGTACAGATTGTCATAATCCACTTTTGGCGGTGATAAAGCATTTACAGTGACTTTGACATATGTTACGGTCATATCAGTGGGGACCTGTGAAATAAAAAAAAACTGTTTTTTTCTGCATCGAGTTACATGTAGTTTAATTTGTAATCGTGTGCTTTCATATCCTTGCACAATGTTACAAAGTCTGCTGATCAAGGATCATTTTATAAAACTTAATTATAGTAATTAAGTACTTAAGAATTACATTTCGTTCATATAAGAATAGCATAATCAGAATATTACATAACTAGGCTACTTACAGGAATATCAATATTAGTATCTTGCTGGAAGAAGTAAATTGTGCCGTCTTTTGTATAGATTACTTGTCCCTGATCAGTGCCTAGAAAAAGATAATAATAAAGAGAGTAATAAGAACTGACACGCCCAATCAAATCTAGCCCTTGTTGGATTTGGAGTATTCGTCAACTTTGCGTATACCTTATTAAGACTTTATGTCCCAACAAGCAACTAAAGACACGGTGTTAAAACTAGAACGCTTCTTTCGACGATTTTAAAACCGATGATAAATCTCGTGATCAGGGAGGATGGAGCTTTATTCGTAGCGTCTTGTATAAAATATAAAGAGAACATATTCACATACCGAATTCATACACATAATCAGAACTTATTGCAAGACTTAATGGAATTATTAAAATGATGAAACTTATTACACACTTCATATTCACGACCATTTAGTACAATGTAACTGAATGCAATGTTTTGAAAAATAAGTTAACTTCTTATAAATAAATACACACATACCGTATTCCTAATTAGCGTTAAAAGCGATAGTATTCTAAAAATTATAAATTATTTACAGTTTAATTAGTAAAGTGAATTGATTTATTCGTTTTATTTGGATCCGGTTTGTCACATTATATAATTCGCCTTTGTAAGTCTGTCGACCAGCCGTTTTGTGCAGTGGTCCGTCCTCTGCGGAATTTCCAAATCGGTACGATATAGGTTCCTTCAAGAAGTGAGCATACTATTTCCTCAAAGGCATATCTGCAGTTCGTCTAGTGGTCCGGATGTCCATGGGCGTCGTTAATCACCTCAATTTTCCAGCCGCTCGTTTACCTTTCTCTTTAAAGTCTACCCTAGGTTACGTCACTTTATTGTTAACTAGAATTAAAATTTTTATCGTACATACTGTGGTTTGTAAATGGGAAAATGAATAATGTTATAAATATGTACTAGTTCTACGAGTCCCCGAAATCCTAATAATCTCTTATCTAGCCCTAGCCTTGATGGACGAAAAATGAAATTGGTCATTCTAATTTTAGCTGTGATACTTGGTATAAAATAAAACGCTTTTTTGGAAATCATTTTATTGTCTTAACATAACCTATAGATGGAATGTTTTATACAAATTTTAGGTTTAATCAAGAATCGATTTTCGATTTATGATTTACTTATTCACAACTAAGTTCATATCAGTTAAACGCTTGTTAAGTGAAGCTAATAATTTATTTGACATTTTAACGAATTCTTCTTTTTGTTCTAATAACTGCTTAAATTCTTCTAGTTCATACCAATGTATATTTAAATAAAGCGCAGCCGTTTCTACTTCCATTTCTGCGGCTTCAACTGAAAAAAAAAACAACTTATTCAATATTTAGCAATAAATTATTAGAATTGCTGGAATTAATTCATATATCTTCAATCGTTCGGTATATCGGTTACCTAAGTTTACCTTTTAACAGTAGAAAAAATTAAACTTACTGCGTAAATTACGTTTAATTGTAATAGATTTCTTTAGATTAGCTATATCATTGTTAATTACGTCTTCACCATTGTTGTAAAAATTTGGATCATCAACATCTACTTGAAATGAAGATACTTGTGTTGGATTCATTACTGTAAAATACCGTTCAAGACTTGAATTATGTGTAATTCTCAAATGTTTATGAGGCTTTAATTTGTAATATTTACTTCGGTGTTAAAAGAAAGCTTTTATTGTACTTAGAAATCGAAGATTGAAAAATAGGGCGCGGGCGGGCTTGAAAATTTTGACAGAAAACGGAAGAGAGGTAAAATAAAAGGCCAAAAAGCTATAGTGAATAAACAGCCGAGAAAATAGTACTTTTAACAATACCAATGATTAATATTTCAAAATTCAGATATGATTATCAACATTTCGTTTATCCAAAGTGTAGTGTATTGTTTTCAACTCTAATATTTAACTATTTTTATAAAGAAAAAGTAAATAAAACTAATGTTGCTAGTGTAAGTCATTATTTTATATACTCTTTGGTGTAAGTAAGCTAAAAAGCCAATGGCCATGGTGTAAAATGCGGTGCGCGGGCAATTAATGAAGCGGGAGGGGAATTCATTTTTAAACCTTTTTGTGTTAGTCGGATAGACTTCGAACATGTATCCCTTTTTCACATTAAGAAACTAAATATTTCTCTTTCATTCATTTGGAATTACCGTGCATCTTTTATTGTCTTCTTTTATCAACATTTTATGTTATCTGTCATATATTGTCACGCGTTCTTGCTTTATTGTGTTAAAAATATATTTGTATTTTGTTTATTTTTGGTGTACTAACAAATATCCTATTTGTGTAAAGACGTTTAATACTACAGTAACTACCCTTAGTGTTTAAGATGATAAGTGACGACGATCGTGACATTGATATCGAGAGTGATGTTCGTGGTTTTTTTTCTGAAACTTCAGTAATGTTTTATAATCATTCCTAAAATAATGATAACTGATTTGTTGTACTAATTTATCTTTCAGGCGGAGAATGATTCTGATTCCCGTACTCACATGAGAAATAGTCTCGGTGGAAGTGGTTATTATTCTCAGGTACACCTTATTTTACACACTTTATCATGACGTAGGCTTAGTGTAAACTAAAAATAAAATAATTTTAAAAATACTTTTTAATTTGCAGGCAGAAAAACGCGCACACCACAACGCTCTGGAGCGTAAACGAAGAGACCATATAAAAGACAGTTTCACTTCTCTAAGGGAAACTGTCCCTGCATTGCAGGGGGAGAAAGTGGTATGTAATGTAATGTCAATATTTTTTTTTTATATTCTTTAACTATATTTTCATACTTTTATAAATAAAAAGTTTTCTTAGACATTAACAAGAAACAATACAATGCAATAGAAATGAAGGTCATTTAGTATTCAGAACATGGAAAGCAAGGACATAGTAAAAACATCAATTTCATTCACTTAAAAAGAAGAAAGACACAGATACTGGTAGTTACAATGAAGTTTTCCAATTTTTCTGTATTACAGATCTCAAATTTTCAATAAAATGCTTTTATATTAAGAGAGATTATAACCTCTATATTTTGTCCATTTTATGGTGATTAATTTGCTAACGCTCACTTATGAGATAATAAATTAATTTTGTATGAAGATTCTCATACTTAATGGAAAGGTTTTATTGTGTCGCGCAAAAGTATAATGTAGTCTTTAAAAGAGAACATAAGTTGAGTTTGAAGGTAGACTCAGTTCACCATAAAGTGTCACAAAAATAGCTCATAGAATGCTAAAAATAGGAAATAATTCTGTAAATTGTTAAGAAATTGTAATGAAAATAATTTTTTCATTACTTCAGGCTAGCCGAGCACAAATTCTAAAAAAGGCAGCGGAATACATTCAATTCATGAGACGGAAAAACAACTCGCACCAACAAGATATTGATGATCTGAAACGCCAGAATACTTTGCTCGAGAACCAAAGTAAGTACAAGAGTATACAGAAATATTATGTTATCATACTCTATGCCACTAAAATTGAACTCAATTACTGTTTTAAATGTCTTCTCAATTTAGACAAATATTGTATACTAGCTGTCACACGCGACTGCTTTTGACGCGGAATGTAAGACAATATAGAAGCCTATTTATTCTTTCAGGCTATGTTCTGTATTTATGCCAAATTTCAGCGAGATCCATATGGCTGTTCTGAAGGTACCTTCTACCAAACATCTATCCCTCTAGACACACATTTGCCTTTATAATATTAGTAAGTTACCTAAATCGGAAATGTACATTTATCCGTCGTTCTTATGGTGAAGGAAAACATTGTGATGCAACCTGCACATATCTCAGAAGAAATTCAAAGATATGTGTGAAGTCAACCAACCCGCACTTGGCCAGCTTGGTTGACTATGGCCTAATCACCCTTAACTTAGGGTGGACTCCGAGCCCCTCGGTGGGGACGTGTATTGAGCTGATGATAAGTTACCTAATACTTTCTCTGCAGTAAAAGCATTGGAAAAAGTACGAGCTACGGGCAACTATATTGAGGCACATGAGTTAGCTCTTGGAATCAAGTCGGAGGGCAGTTCCCATGATACGGATAGTTCTGATGGTGAAGGAACAACCAGACGCGTCAAGAAACTGAAGATTAACAGCGTCAATGTATGATTTAGATTTAAAATAATGCAATAGTGTGAATCACTTTTTACTGGACTTTGATTATGAAAACGAAAAAAAAACGAAATGCAACAATGTTGCCAGTGAAATAATGCTGTCTATGGTTTTCTACTCTGAACATTTAAAATTTTATTAATTAAATAAGTCTTTATTTTGAATATTCTACAATCTAGTTTTGAGTACTATTGTACTCTGTTGACATCAAGGGGCGTCGTTAATTTTGTGTTATTTTAATTGTAAATATTTCGTATCAATATTGTGAGGATACAATGTTTTTGTTGTTTCTATATTTTTTTTTTGTTGTAAGAATAATGCAAGGTATAGCATTGTCTTTTTTGACAGATTGTAAGAAAATTCAATATAAAGTTAATAGTTATTAATAGGTTAAGATTTGGTCTTCTTGAATTTAGTTTTACCTTTGGTCTTTGTAGTATTAACTTAAATGTAATTATTATTTGGTACTAGTTGTATTTGTATTAATATAAAGAAATTTATTTAGATTCTATTTAAATTCAAAATCAATACAGTAAAAATAGAAATAATATGATGAAAACAATTATCAAACTATCTTCTATATGTTATGATTGAATTTAAAAAATCTACAGTTTGTTTAAAAATTATAAAGTCAAGATTATCTCGGAAATCGGTAATTCATGAAACTATTTTGAAAATTAGTTTCAAATTTGATGCATGTTCTTTGTTTATTTTTAAAGTATATTGTAAAATGCTCTGTCATTTTCTAAATTCAAAAAAGTTTTTTTTTAATATGTTACATAAAATATGGCCAGCATTTTAATTTAATCATTGCTGTAGTACAAAAAATGCACCAAGACACTGGTCAGTAACATGTTTCAACCTTTTGACCGCCGATGATTGAATATTACATCAACCTAGTTATAAAAAAGTATGTTTCGTTGTTTAATATGTATGAAAACTGCTTCTAATATAACTATTTTGTTGTTTATACGTCAAAATCGTATTTCGGAAGTATACATATATTTCAATAATCATGATTTCTGATGTTTTCCATCATGTGTGCGATTAAATGGCATTTGTTTAAGCTAAAAGGTAATTAAAACACAAAGTTTTTTAGGAACCATCTTTTTAATCTGTTCTTCGTTTGTTTGCTTAGAAGATCGAAAGTTTATAGTGTAATTTCTTAAATAGCGAAAATATTGTATATGTGTAACTTAACTTTAAAAAACTAACTTAAAAAAATCTTGTTTGCAATCTATAGGAATATTGAAGTAACAATAGTTATTTCTTTAATTAGTTTAAACGATAAGAAGTACTATAAACTGAAGAAATGTTTAATTACTTTGTTCTTGAAGACTAAATAAATAAAAGTATAAAATACTCAATCATGTTTTATTTTTTTAACTTTATTAGATTCTCCTCTTTATTTTTGGAAAAAAGATTTCTTTTTCCGCCAGAAGAATCTGACGGTTTTAAATACGCTTTGGCCTTAATTCTGGGAAATAAATAAAACTATCAAAAGTATATTCGGATTTTGCATTTAGTCTATGGTATTATTATCAAAAATATGTAAAGCCGCGTTTATCAGACTTAATTTGTTACTAAAACATGCAACTGACTTCTAAAAATTTTAAAAAGAAAGTAATAAAAGATTCTTAGAAGAATAGTCTTGTTAAATCCCAAAATCTTTTTACAATCTCGTTCAATAATAATTCTTAGAATGGAATCTGAAAACAATAGACTTGCGCCTGCGCATTGTAAAACGCAATTTTACTTTTCTAAGAATTAACAATGCAATTGAGTAAGGATAACTACAATGCAGAAGTACATCGGCTTTCTTTGACTGAATTCATTTTATGCCTTGTTTTGACTTGTCACCTTAAAACATGTATTGCAAAAATATAATTAGATAATTTTTGTTTATATAAATGTACATAACATAATTACTATCAGTCTTTGCGTACATAAAACATAATAATCATCAGCTCAGTATTAGTCACCACCAAGGGTTTCGGAGCCTAACCTAAGTTAGAGGTGACCTGGCCATAGTTAAAAAAACATAAAACATGGTTCGAAAAAAGTCCTTGTTTTGCAAGATGTTTGTTTGTGTTTGATAAGATGTTAATGTTATCCATTTAAGGTACAGAGTTATTGTGATCGTAGCTTCGCTAGCATACTACCTTCTAGAAAGACAAAGGTAAAAAGTCAAATGGAAAAAATCCTGACTTAGTAAGATAGACTATTTTTATTAAAATTAACATACAAGTAAAGTAAGTAAAAAAAATTAAGATATTAATTTGAAGTCAGCCATTGTTTCGAGAGAAAAGAAGGTGTATTGACTGATGAAAATATAATAAACCAGATATTAGAATCATAGGTTTCAATCGACCTTATTGCTCCATGATAAAATAAATATATAAATACAATTTGCAAATAAGAAATCACGGTATTCAAGCGTTAACACTAATAAGACATTTGCTAATTACTTTCCAAGAAATTTATAAAGTCGGCTTAGTTTTAAAGTCTTTACAACAATTGTTTATCCGGCGCGGCTTTCAAATAGGATTATCTTTGTGTTTATGACCTCATTAAGAACATTTAAAAACTGCTTTTTTTACTAGAAATGGAGGGGGTTGTAACTTACCAGGATACTTAACGAAGGGTTTGTTAGTAATTATTTCATTTCCTGTGGTTGTGTTGTTTTGACTGGTTCAAGCCGTCTCATTTCCTGATGGAGGATATAGTAAGTTTGTTTTATTATATTTTATCAATTATTAATTCGCCATATTTTTAGTATAAATATGGTATTGTAATAGTGAGAAATTATTTCTTATTTGATTTGATTTCTAAATGCGTTCCTCGGATTTTTATAAAATATGTTATTGAGTGACGGTAGATTAACAATTGCGAAGTCTCCCAAATCGTGAGATGTTTGCGTTGTGTTATATTTGAGGAATATTATCGATACATATTATCAATTTTTTATTGTTAAATATACAATTTATTTCGCGTTCAATTACAGGCTAATGTACCGATAAGAAAACGCGGAAGACCGGCCGGCAAATGTCGCAAGCCTTTAAATCGGGTACGTTAACTAATAACTCATTAAAACTAAGAAGTGTAACTTATTATTAAATGTTTTATATTTTCTTTATTAATTCAGGAGCAGAGAAAAGCGCGCAATGCACAATATGAAAGAGAAAGACGTGGTGAAATCGCTGAAGCAACGTCTCAGCTGATGGAAGCCATAGGATTAGATGCCTCCTCCTCTGTAAGTAAAAGTAATTTAATTAATTTTAGAATTAAAAAGTAAGTCATTTAGTAGTCTACGTATTCTTCCAGATTACGATCTACATCTGTGCTAAATTTCATAAAGATCTGTTGAGCCGTTCCGGAGATACTTTCTAATAAATATTCCTCCATACATCTGAACATTTGCATTTATAATATTAGAAAGATTATCATCAGCGCAATCTCGTCATACAATGTCTGTTCTAGTAAATGGATTTCTTGCCAGGATTTACCTCACTTCCACTAACATTAAAAATGTTTCAAACAAGCAGAACATTTTATCCGCTCTAGTTGACTTCTATTCCTTTTAGATTTGAAAACATCAACAAATTTCGTAGGCGTTATCAATAAGAAAATATGTTGCACGATTATTGACGTATGTTCTGTTTAACAAATTTATTTGTTTTTTACTACAGGTATCAGTATCAAATTTATTGAACATCGCGTTGGACCACATAAAGAATAAGTTGACCCCAACACAATCTATAGAAACTTTAAGAAAGAGAAACGACGATTTGTGTAAAGAAAGTAAGTTTTTATTTCCAAGCACAATATTATGAGTATAAAATTGACGTACGATATAGTACACAGCAATCTGTTCATTTTTAACGTAATATTTTTTTTATTGCAGTACAAGACTTAGAAAATTTATTGTCAAAACAACAAAAGAAGCAAAAGAAAGATTCAAGTTCGAGTAAAACAAATAAACGAGGAATAAAAAGGAAAGCCGAAAACGTAAGACGATTTTTTTTAAATAATCGCTATTCTATTTTATATTAACACTGGCTGTCGATTGCGACTCCGTCCGCGCGCAATTAAAAAAATAGTAGCCTATGTGTTCTTCTTGAATATGTTTTATATGTGTGCCAAACTTCATCAAAATCCGTTCAGCCGTTTCGGAGATACTTTCAAATAAACATCCATGTAAATATGGCATTTATAATATTAGTAAGATTTTATTGTAAGAAATTTTAAAGTATTTTCTTTTATTAAGACTAATAAAGTATTAATTTATTCTCCTTTCGATATCTGCAGGAACCACCGTCTAATATAATTGAAGAACAAGATAATAAGAGATTTGTGGAAAAATCTGAATACGATTTTGAGATGGAATCTGACGATCTATGGAGTTGTTTGGGCTGATTGCAAAAACAAACGGTAAGTCATTCGTTGAGACTTTCGATAAGACTTAGAAGGATAGTCTACACCAGAGATGACAAACCTTTTCCTATCAACGTGACATTTTCCTAAATAATTTTTAGTGAGGTCATAGACCTGTCATCAAATAATTTTGAATTTGTTATTATTTGGTACATTTAGTACCATATGCAACAAGAGCGTTCATATTATATCTATATTGCTATTAGTTGTCCATTTCGGTTCTAGATTCTTTACGCAGGCAAAGTTTTAAAAACAATTCAAATGTACCCTTTTCAAACGACAACATTTTGTTACAGTCACGCAAGTCGTGTTTAAATGCTTGGACATAATGTCAAGTTTATTATTTTTGTACAATTTTACAATGATTAAAAAGATTTTAGATTAAGTTTACAAAATCGCCCTTAATACTTCGTTGAATGGCCTTGACAATGATTTACCTACCAAGTTTAAATTGCTATACGACACGAAATAACGAATTGTCGAGTTTAACAGAAATATAGTAAAAACCGGTTATAGCGGTAGTTTTAAAAGTTAAATATCGTTCAGCCAGGATTTTGGTCGCCATAACCGCTATGTTGTATCAACCGTTGTCGAGTCGCGATTTCTACTATAGCTGTTTTTTTGTTACCAGATTTGGAACGACTTACCTGCTTGAATACCACATAAACTGACTGACTGTGATGTAGTCTGACCAGGAAAACCTAACATAAGGGCGCAACCATCAACTGCTCGCACATCGCCTTCTTCATTACTTTAGTATGTGAAGAAATATGGTGAGATGTTTTATGTTTCTGATCAAGCTATTACAATTATTTCAAATGTAAAAAGTGACGCATGATGATTCAAAAGTTTAACCTATTTTACTAGGGAGATAGTGCAATAAAGCCTTTTTAGTTTATCAATTTATGGAATGAATTCATTACAAAATCGATTAGTATTTTATCGATCGTCGTATTTTACGTTTCATACATAAAATATATTTTTTAATAAGTGACACTATATTTTGGTGGATTTTTTTCAAGAAATAATGTTGATTATCTTACATTTGCAAAGATTATAATAATTATTACTTATCACAATTTTTTAAGGTCTTCCTAAGTTTTCTTGGTATCAATTATTAAATTAATAATAACAATTTTCTTTGCGACTGTACAGGTTGATTTATGTTATTTTCCAATAATTGTATATTTCCAATTTTTTCTCTTAAATGTATTGTGTATTTTGTGTGTAATAATTAACGGATATTTTCGGTAAAAATAAAATAGACATTTTTTTAAATTGTTTATCATTCATGTTGTTATTCATTCAAAAAAGATTTTCCTCCAAATAATTTTATTTTTATATCTTCTAAGTAAAATTAAAAAATCTTATTATAGAAAAGAAATTGCTAACTACCTGTGGCGGTCGATTCCGTCCGCACGTAAGTAGTATTTGTGTTTGTCCAGACTATGTTCTACATCTATTCCAAGTTTCAGCGAGATCCATTTAACCGTTTATATGGGAAAAGAAAAGGCCTGTTTTTTCCCGAACATTATTAAATTTTTTCTCACAAGTTTAAGATAAGCCTTTGCAGAATATCAGTGTTTATGCCCCCCGGGGTAATAAACATACAGCTGTGCAAAGGCCCTATCTGTTCTGCATTATTATTATTATTATTATTTATATACATTTCTAATATAATACATTTCATATAAAAAAATATATACAAAACATATTATATTAAAAACCCAGAATCCCATGACTCAAACAACCAGTGGTCAGGGCTGCAGAGACAGGAACCTTCTCACGATGCGCGCGGTTTCTAGGATAACTACCTTTTGTATCGGGCCCTTAATCCAACTGTGTAGCGAGACCTTCTTGGGATGTTGGTCGAAGCTCTTCGCTATCAGTCCATTTACCGATACGACTATCGGAATAATGGTAGTCGATTTCATACGCCACATGGCGGTAACCTCGTGAGCCAAATCTAGGTATTTTAACACTTTTTCCTTTTCAGCTTTCATGAGATTCTCGTCATGTGGAATAGTGACATCGACTAACATTACACAACTCTCAGACCGGTCTATTATTACTATATCGGGCGTATTGGCAGCAATAGTCCTATCCGTAATAATAGATCGATACCAGTAGAGCGTGATATCGCTATTTTCCAGAACGGGTGAAGGTTGGTAATACGGTACCTCAGCATCCACAAAGGCATATTTAAGGGCAAGTTGCTGGTGGATGACCTTGGCCACTTGGTTGTGCCTATGCAAATATGCACCGTCCGCCACGGAAGATAATTGGTCCACATCAGGCCCAGTTAAGGCTCGATGGAACCTGCCGTGTAGCTCCTTGCTCTTAAATACGCTAATGCGGTCTGAGATAGTACCGGTAGCCTTCGCCAATTCGTGGAGGCCAAGGAAAGCGGCGTAACTCCTTTGTCCATTGCTGCAACATCCTGATACATTCGCACGTTCACCTTAAGGAAGTATTCCCTAAGGTATATGACCTCGCGGTTGTGCAGGGTCTTGGCATTTAAATAGCCTCGACCCCCATGTTTCCGTGGGATGTACAACCTCATTACAGACGAACGTGGACGATGCATCCGGTATGCTGTCAGCAATCGACGAATTTTTCTATCCAAGGCATCTAGTTCTGTTTGCGACCATCTCAGTATGTCCAAAGAGTAGGTTAAGACTGGCATAGCCCAGCTGTTAAAAGCACGGCACTTATTTCCACCTGATAAAAGACTTTAGAACTTTTTTCAGGCGGCCAAAGAATCGTTCTTTCACCAGCAGTTTCATACCTTTGTCATGAATGCCTAATGCTTCCGACATACCAAGATATTTCTAGCTTTCATTCTCCGAGAGGGAAACGAGGGGCACATCCTGAGTAAGTTGTAGATTCTCAGAAGCTACAACCCTCCCCTTTTGTACATTTATGACCGCACATTTGTCCACACCAAATGTCATACCATTGGCTCTGCTAAAATCGTCGGTCACTTTAAGCAGAGTCATTAAGTCAGACTTCTTGGATGGGTATAATTTGAGATCATCCATGTATGTACAAAAGGTGCTACATGATCTCGCCCCTTCTTCTTCTTCTTCTTCTTCTTCTTCTTCTTCTTCTTCTTCTTCTTCTTCTTCTTCTTCTTCTTCTTCTTCTTCTTCTTCTTCTTCTTCTTCTTCTTCTTCTTCTTCTTCTTCTTCTTCTTCTT